TTGATGGCTGACTTGTCTGAATACCAAGCCTGAACACCAATACCATATGTCCTGAAATCCCCTGCAGGAAATTTTAGAGAACCATGGTTAGGTTTTGTAGACAAATTCAAGCTGGCTGGACCAAGGGTCTAACTTATCATGAATCATAAGACTGATGAACCAGTCAAGAAAGTAGGAAAGGCATCTTCTCTAATATCCAAGCACATTTAACAATGTAGGCTCCTGGCAGTTCGAGCTTCAAAATACAAGCTGTTGCAAATAGGTGCCAAGTTTGCTTATATAGCAAATTTAGCATGTAACAGTCCTCTTCAGGGAGCAGCTTGATCACTTTAGCCTTAAGACAACAGCAGCAGCAACAACAAAACTCACAACCCGTTTTGGAGCTAGAGGCCGACGATATTTATTGTTTGATGGACACAGGTCTTCACTTGTTGCTTAATCAAATCTTTTGTTTCCTCCAGTGGTGCTTATGCGTCGTGAATACCAAAGGAAACTAGAGAAAGTGATATTACTTTTCTTTCATTTGTTTGTGAAGCACAGATGGATGTGTTGTGTAAATTAATGAGTTAAAATATTATATTAAAAATGGGCATTTAACTGAAAATGGCCCTCTTGTAGATGTTTTAAAAATGAATATAATGAAATAAAAACAAAGCATTATGATGAGAGAACTGCAACATGTGGGGTTCCTTCAATATCTCCATTTCTTCTAGGGGAATTCATCTGCATGTAAACTCATTAAGAATTTCAAGCTGCTGTTTCAGATCGTGGAATCCAATTAGGTGTGCCAGCAACACACAGTCTTATAGAATTGGAGAGCCTCTTCATAATAAAAGAATGCAGCAGAGTAAATAATGAAGAAAAGTTCATTTAGAAAGCATGCATATTGAGAGCAGAAGGGAAAAAAAGAGTATTTTGTCTTGAGGCCCTCCATATGTTGCGGGACTTTGCATTCTGTCAGACTGCATGACCAATAGTCACGATGATAGAAACTGTAGTCCAGCCACATCTGGAAGGTCACAGCACTCCATCCTCTTCATATTCATTTTCATGTACAACATATAAAGTTCTGAAGCTACTGTCTCTTTCTGGGTCCTAAAACCAGGGCATTTAATTTTGCATTTTTCCCTTTATTCTCCAAAACTTCACCTGTGCTACTTTATTTGGATCAAGCTTCAACAACTTCTGAAAATCACAACAAAATCAGATGATCGAGTCTGAACAACAGTCAGCCAAGTGTTTGATGGGGATCTGTTTGTCTTTCAGATCAACAGAAATAGAGGGGAGATTCAGCTAGATCAGGCCTGTACAGTTTTTGATTCATCAAGCTGGAAGCAGCCTACCTTGTATCAGTGGCTTTCTGGGAACCTGAGAGGAAATATTTCCCACCTCCAGCACACACCTATTCCTATTACCTATGGTACTAACGGTGGTTTGGAATTAGGAATGTTCACTGGATTCAGATGAATCTTGAGCCAAATCAGGTAACTTCAGATTGATTCTGTGGCTGCCACAAACTGGATTAGTTAAGTTGCTTTAAAGAATAGCAGAGGGGTGCTATCTATGTGTGAGGTCTGAAACACTTCTTCCAAATCACTTTGAAGTGTCCACTGCCCTATTCTTTTTAAATTACACCCCCTCTTAATTTCCCTTATGTCTCTTACTAATTCAGTAAGACAAAGTCCCTGTGCTCTAATTGCCAATGAAATTAAGATAAGAAACCCTACTCCACTCTATAATTTCCAGTCTCATTTAAGCTGAGTTCCTAAGGGTGGATGGATACCAAGCAGAAAGCAGTGTCAATAATGGACTTCACTGCTTTGGTTTGCTCTTACTTTTCTGAACATGGGAAATCTCAGGATAGGAGATGGAAGGAGAGAAACTGAACAGTTAATGGGCACCTTGCAATCACTAGGAATGGTTCATGATGGGACCTGCAATCACAGGGCAAAAGCAGACAGCCACATTACAATACTAACCTCCAGCCTTGGTGTGAACAACAACAACAACAACGGAAGCACAAACTGTGCTGCCTTCATTGCAGATCCCTTTTCTGCCCCATAAATGAGGCCAGCAACAGGTACTGTCCTTATTGTATTAATGTCGGACAAGTGAAGGGAACTGATTGGTGGATTCCCCCAGCTTCATTTCCCTTCCCACCCAGTATTGCCTGCCAGTGCAAAAACAGTGATCAAATACTCTCCCTGACATCGGGTAGGTTGAGCTGGGGTTGGATTAGAGTAAGCAGTTGTTTGGAAAAGTAAGTTTAGCCAGCTGTTGAGTTGCCCAACTGACATGTTGCAAGCATGGAGGTGCTCTATGCCTGTGGCCTTTCACTTGACTACTTTTGAACAGGGATCTAGTGTTCTTCTGAAACAGGGCTAAACCTGTATCCAAAAATAGCCTGGCATACCCATCACAGGCAAAAAGAAGGTTGTGCAGAGTGAAGTGGGAGGGAGCTCTCCTGACCTGTCAGTTGTGCTGTTTCTGAACACAGGTCACGTGCCAACCCATGTTCAAGGACAGCCTAGCTGGCCTGTAACAGGCATGGAGGAGAGGGATGGGATGAAGTGAGAGGGAGCAACTGATAATGAACATGCTTCATCCAACACTAGTGTTGCAAGGAAATGGCAATGTTGATAATGAGTGTTCAAGGAGTCCAGTTCTCACCTCATGGCTGATAGTAGCTGGAAATAATAGTGGAGAGCCACAAAGAACACACAGCTGTAATTTATGTGCATGCAATCACAACAGTTGTCACTATGGCACCTAGTCTCACCAAAGCCAGAATTCAACCCCCCCCCTCCCCCGCCACCAATTAATAAAAACAATACGATGTATGGCCATACAGAAGCCCTTCTTGGCAGAAGCAGAAGATCTGTAATACACCCAAGGGTGACCACACTAGCAACACTCAAAGAACCTGACTCTCCCATTTTAAGCTCTAACCTCCTCCTCAACATAAGAATAGCTCTCTTGAGAGATCACTGAACCCATGTTTTTAAAAACTCAGGTCTAGCATTCTTTCTAACAAGCATTACATTTGTGTTTATAAGTTCACATAAGCTCTAAGAAGTGCTTTGGAAAATGCTGATCAGGCATTACAGATACAGAAGCCTCTGTAGAAACCAGGATTCTGGTCTGTGTCTCAACTCGAGCCAAAACAGCCATGGAGGGCAATTTTCAGTTACTAGAAGGGAGGGGGCATGCCTAAAGGGGCTGACAAGATCTGGGTGGTAGCCAATCCTTGATCACATCAAGCAACCATCCCATCAGTAAAGCATGCCACATCATATTCATGGTGGGAGAAGAGAGAAAACACTACAGTACTTTAAAACTGGAAAGCTAAAGATACTAAATTGTCTCTGTTATGGCCTGAGGATGAGAGGAAGGCAACATCATAACGATATGGGGAAAAAAAGGTGATAACTGGACCATTTTGTGCTGAGTTGAGATTGAGACTCTGAGATAAAACCAGAGTCTTCTGAGAGAGATATTTGAGAATAATGTTTGTATTTGCTTGGCAGATTTATATCTTGCCTTTTTTCCCAGGGATGCTTCCTGAAAGTGGGCAGAAGTCCCACTCACAGAAGAGACTTCTCTGCCTGAAAATATCATTCTATTACATCAAAACCTCACAAAATATTACACCTGTTTCCCATACTTGTCAGTGAGAAACATAACCTTCCATTTCCTAAAGTTTGCTTTGGATTCTGACATAAGTCAAAGCAGGCAGCATCTGACTCCAGCCAGATTTTCTGAATTGTGAAACTGGGGTTTGTATACTCAAGTGTATACTCTATTTTGAATCTCTGGATAATTGAATCTCCAATTATCTTTGAGGGCTAGAATAATGTGCATTATCCCAAGGCTAACACAGTTACAGGAAAAGTCTTGGCTATCCTCTGGCAAATGGCAGTGATTAAAACTCTCAAATATGCCTAGATATACAATTTGAATAAATTACCACCTCAAAGGGAAAATTATATGTCTAAAACTGAGCTGCACAGCAACACACATTCCAGTCTTGTTCCAGATTCCAGTCACTGATGGGGATCTGAAATATAGTCTAGGGATGGGTGAATCTGTTTTATTTACTACGATATTCACATTTTTCAAGCGCCAAGTTCTTTTTACATGTCCTGTTCTACATCAGTTTGCAAATAATAATGATAATAATAATATCCCATAATAATCATGCATATGAATTCTTGTGCATAATTATTCTGTCTTGATTCATTTATAGGTTTAAGAAGTGTAAATTGGGTAGGTTTATATTAACAGTTCTGGATTAGATTTATCCACAGGTATGCCATGCTATTTCTATAAAATATTTTCTCCCAAGTTCAGATTAGTACTCTTGATCTAAATCAGCCTTACCAACACATCTAGGGGGCATAGGTTAGGGGAGCTTGCATCTACATAGCAGGCAGGAGAGGAAATTGGAAAAAGACTTCAGGAGTATCCAGAAAGATGCAAGTCATGATATACATTGATTGCCATTCTTGCAACCATCATTTAATTTCTTCGTTACTTGGTAGAAATCTGTAAATATTAAAAATGATCACCATCTATACATGGGACACAACACAGCATGTGACAAAAGTGTTATTCACAACAGTAAGAAAGTATGACTTTATTCACAAGAAATAAGAAATTTGTCTCTAAGACGCGACAACTTAGATGTCAACTGATGTTGAAAACACTGTCACATATATGGAAAGGAGCCAAAGTTAAAAATGTACCAGTTATTTTGACAATCGAAAGTACAACCAGAGTCTTACCTTTCTACCCCCTGTGTTTATCCGAAGTGGGGTAAGGAAGGGGTCAAAGATCATATGGCTGGTTTCTATATTGACTGGTGACTGCCGTTTTCCAACGGAGCAAAGGTTCCAGGCTGAATTCACCAAACCCCAAAAGGAAGGAACTGTAGTACAGAAAAGAAAGGAAGACATTCATTTTGGGGAGGAAAATTAAGGAAAGCAGTATTGGTATTGCATGCCACATATGCAGTTTGAATTAGTAGCTTCCACTGCCCAAAGAGGTAATATTTATTTCTGGGGCAAAGGAAATAGCCCATTCTGGACTGGAACCCCCAGAAAGAGGTCCTTATCACCTATACCAGTGATGGCAAACCTATGACACACATGTCAAAGGTGACATGCCATGACGTTTCGGGTGACACGCCAGTGTTCACCAACACCCAACAACTATTCTCCCTGTTTGAGTTACCAAAGAAACTGAGTTTGTTTTACTCATATTTCATTTTTGTAAAACAACTATTCTCCCTGTTTGAGTTACCAAAGAAACTGAGTTTGTTTTACTCATATTTCATTTTTGTAAAACAACTATTCTCCCTGTTTGAGTTACCAAAGAAACTGAGTTTGTTTTACTCATATTTCATTTTTGTAATTATTTGACATTTCTTTATATACTACATAGCACCACGCATGATTGGACTGTATTTTTTTTAAATAAATGAATATGTAAAGAATTGTTTCTCTTTTATTCAGGGGTGGGTGACCCACCAGAAGAGTCAAGTTAGGCATTTTCCAAATGTTTGAAAAGCTTTGCCATCACTGACCAGTACTGAGGATCCTGATATGGGTCTGAGACTCCGTGCTGAATTTATAAAAAACAGCCCTTCACAGCAGAGCAGAGCTATATACTTCAGTTCATACCCAGCATGGCTCTTAGCAAACTCAGTGCTATAAGAAGGCACAAAAACAGCTATCCTTCAGTCCTCACCAAGACAGACGCCCAGAAGCTCGGTACATATATTGGCTGGTTCAAGTCTTCTTTGAAAACAAGAACCTGTATCGTTATTTTAGTCAGGTCTCTAAAATAGCTGACTGCACCTGTTGTGCTCTATGTGGATATCTATAATTATCTGTCTTTGGACAGGCATTTGATGACAAAACAGGCCTTAAGTTAGCAATTCAGTCATGAAAGACAAGGTTACTTCAGCAAATGTTTTTAAGACAGCCACAAAGAACACATTCTGTCAAACTAGCCAGAGATGTTGTCACTTGACAATAACTCTAATAGGAGCCTTTAAAAGAGCAGGGGCAAGCAGCTGTCTTTCCCTGATCCTTTAATATGAGTAAGCTACGTGCTATGAGATCCATTTCCCACCAACCAATTCATTTGCTCAATGCTTGTTCTTACACCAATAATGCTCAGAAAATTAATTTCCAGCTTCACTTCCTTTCACTTGTGTTAACTTGCTGAGCCTTCTCTCTCCCCCACCCGCCCAATGACAGAAGCAGCCAGTGAGCTTAGAAATTATCACTGTGCTTGGTGAAGCAGCAGAACTATAACAAAGGTGGATGTGTCCCCAGACCTAAACATCCGTTTTTGACTTAAGAGATATCATGATCTCAGGGGAAGCTGAGCTGTAGACAATGGGCATTGAAAATGACCCCATAGCTATGGCATTCCAGAAGGGTTTGAAAGCACAGAAGGTCCTCCAAATGCAGCAATTGTATTGCCATAACTCAGGTCCAATAGGGCCACTTTCAGATCAAAGATTTTTATATAGCTTCCTTATTGCTTATCTAAATTTCTAATGTTAGAAGCTTCCCTGAGAAGGGCAGGTTATGCTTACTGAGATGGACATATACTTGCTTGATAAATAAACATGCATGTTTTTAATTCCTAAAAAGGTAGACAAGATGAGGTTTAGAGGTGCACACTAATCCTGAGGGTCAGGTGGCATGTAAATCAGTGGATTGCCTGAAAGTTAAGTAGATTACTAGATTCACTCAAAAGAAAAATCCCTGCCCCAAATATTAGTACAGCCAGCACTGTGTTGTATTCTTGATATCTTTCCTTCGGCACCAAAGACCAGCAGTTAAGTGAAATGCTATATTTTTCAAATGCATAATACTGCTTGATATTTGCTTAATAATATCCACTTGGGTGAAGGAAAATTAAACTAGATTCAAGTTGTGGCAAAGCTATAAGTTATAAGAGCTGTTATATGGCCCGTCTTTGCTAGGGATTCCAAGCAATAGCTTATTATGCTGAAAGAAAAAGCAAGTAGGAAAGAACAGGAACTGCCCATAACAGACCAAAAGTATTATTCACAACTGTTGGCCATTTCCAAGTTCCTGATTTATAGCATCTTATAGAGCCAACCAGCTAGAAAGTCAGTCTTCATTACTAATATATTGCCACAATGATGTTTGGATGGCTCTATAAGATGCTATAAATCAACTGTGTAGAAATGGCCGATGGCAACAACAAAACATTCCTTTGGTAAAAGTTTCAGCATCTCCAAATGCTGTGAAAAGGCCAAACCAGCAGTGCTACCCACATAATGCCACATAATAGCTACAATATATAGCCAACTCTCCCAGGATATATAGAATTAATGACCCTGAAGCAATTGGACTTTCATGCAATCAACTGTTTTAGCTAGGAATGAGTTGCCTATGCTTTCGTTCTTTGAATTACCACATGCTCCCCCAATCTCATGCCAACTGATTTAACCAGGCAAGGAAGGTACTGGAAATTCTTATTTTTGGAACAGCGTACGCACACTTTTCCCCCCACAGTGGACTGAAGTTACTAACTGCCTGTTAAAAAACAAAGATTAGGGGAAAAGTCCAGTGACCTTGCAAGTTAATAAAAAGTACAGCAGACACATCTTTTCAAAAGAGATGTTTACAAGGTAAGCTGTTTTCCTGCTTCTTGCCTATGTGCACCAATATTAGACACCATTCCTTTCAAGGGTCACTCAAATGGACAGCCATGAAACAACTTCTGTGCCTTAAGTACCATTTTTTCCCATAGTTTCAAAGCAAACACTGCTATGCTTCCCTTTTGTCATGTACAGTGAGTAGGGAGAAGGCATTTACAGGTAGTTCTTGATATATGACCATTTGTTTAATGACTGTTTGAAGTGATGACGGTGCTGAAAAAAATGACTTATGACTGGTACTCACACTTACGACCGTCACAGCATCCCTGCAGTCACATGATCAAAATTCAGTTGCTTGGCAACTGGCATGTATTTATGGTGGTTGCAGCATCCTGGGGTCACATGATTGCCATTTGTGACCTTCCCAGCCAGCTTCAAACAAGCAAAATGAATGGGGAACTGCATGATTCACTTAATCACCATGCAATTTGCTTAACAACTATGTGATTCACTTAACAACTGTGGTGATTAGCTTAACAACCACTGCAAAAAAAAATAAAACAGGCTGTGGTCACATGATGCCTGGCTTAACAATCACACCACTTAACAACAAATTTTCCAGTCCCTATTGTGGTTGTAAGTCAAGGACTATCTGTATGGTTACACCAACATTCAGGAAAGAGAATATTTGCCTCTTCATTGTGGCTGGTATTTTATCATTTCAAAAATACAAGAAAGTTTTCAGCCAGTTTAACATAGATTACCACCATTAAATGCAGATTGTATTCAAGACTGCTCAAGGATGCCTCAGGATTGATTTTTTTCCCTTCAGCATGGCTATAATCCAGGGTTAGCACAAGGCTCTACAGAAAACAATGATCTTTTCCAGACCATGAGGACTTTTGTTTCACAAGGTTTTACAATGCATGTTAAACTAAGTGAGAATGCTTCCAAGCTCTTTTTCTTTTCTTTTTTCCAGACCAAAGCATGATTTACAAAACTAAAATGATGGCAAATCAAGAGGGTTGCAGAAAATGCCAATCAACCAATCAATGCAGAGTGGAAAAAGATAAATGATCAATAATGCATTGGACCATCACCAAAATATTTGAAAGCTCCTTGAACAAGACATTAAGTCCCTACTTGTGGGTTGGAGGGGAGATTGATTGCAACTGATTTTATATGAGAAGGGTTAAATTGAATATAGCAGGGGGCACAGTGAGAACAGTGAAACAGCCTCCAATGAATTAGATTATATGTAGATAAGAGGGTAAATTAACCCATGTCGTAACAGAGGCTGTATCTTGTGGATTCAGATACTTCTGAACATCTGCTGCACCATGTTCACATTAGGGAAAGTAATGAGAGAGAAAGTACATACATTTCATTAGAAATGGGATGACTATTGCATCATGAATCCTAGAAGGTGAGGGCCTTTTCTGATGGGATCAAAACCTCAAGTAGTAATCAGTGTTTATATTCACTATACACACAACTACCCTTCAATACTCTTGTGAGGTTGAACGAACTACCATTAGATAATCAAGCAAGTAAAATTAGGTTATGCATCCACTAGCATGTGAAATCCTGTGCTAACAACTATATTCTGCAGTAACTCTGGTTGGGGGGACACTGGGTCCTTTTTATTATTGGGTAGATGGAGGGAGTCCAGCCTACCAAGTATTGCTTGCGTTTCTTCTGCCACCCCTAATGATGACAATGATCTATTTGTTTTCTTTTTACACTTCCCCCCAGAAGGAGCCCAGAATGGTGTGCAAAAAAGAATGAAAACAATCTTTAATAAAAACTAAACAACTAGAATATAACCCTTAAAGCAAAGTTCATTTGAAAAACATTCTTAAAAAAAGGTAGCTCTTGAAACAGCTGTTACTCTGTTAGTGCATGGGTGAACAGGCATAGCTTCAGTTGTCATTTAAAATAGGGCAGAAGAAAGGCCAGTGTAATTCCCATGAGAGAGTTTCATAATCAAGATTCTCTAGTTCAATCAGAGCAGGGCAGGAAGATGGCTGATGTTTTGAAAATCTTCGCAGAGACTTGGTTGGACTACGCTACCTAGAATATTTTGGCTCAGGGGGATTACAGGTCCAATTATGTCCAAATATCTTTGGTACATTCAGAGGAATTTTGGCATAATAGGAACTACATTCTCTATCCTGAAGCCATTGCTAAATCTTGTTTTCCAGAATCTCCTTAAGCCACGATGGCTCCATCTAAGGCCACCTAGTGATGGTTCAAAACAAACAGGAATTTGAATATCTACT